TCTATTTTCAAACTTGTCCTTACAATAATACTTAAGTATTTTCCCTGTCTCTAGTTTCGTATTGTTGTTTTATTTTTAAAATGTGTGGGTGTTCAAATAACTCACATTGCTTCGCTAAAATTTTACGTAGGTAGATAATATTTATCTCCCAAATCAACTCTCAGAAACAAGTCTCTATATTTTCCCGACCGTAGCTGCTACCTTGGCATGGTGGTTCGGTTTGCTTATTATAACGACTCAGCTACGCTGTTTTTGAATTAACGCATGTTTCGTTCAGTCCTAAATGTTGTGACTTATAAAGTTAGGGGAATTGACACGTTGCATGTAACTTATAATACGCGTTGTTAAAGAATAATCAGTCAGTCAATTACGACGTAGAACTTCGTACCCACGTACATCAGTTCTGGTTGCCATACCACATTAGCACAGAGACAAACGATTTCGAGCCATGTCATTCAGGGTCTCTAACCATCGATTATTATCATCTCGCGGAACCTAACCAGGTAGTCTACACCTACTAAAATGACTCAGTCCACTTGTCAGTGACTTCATGGATTTCTGCCATGTTTTGTTTTGACCGCCCCTAGCTTTCTTCCAACCTATTTCTGCACAACAAAACATTGGTCGTCGAGGCAGTCGGTGGTTGGGCATTCGTAACACATGTCCTAACCACCTCAACTGATGAAGTTTCGTCACTTCATCTTTTGATTGGCCATCCTCACCTAGTACTCGTTTCCTAACGACAGCATTGTTTACTCCGTTGTCCCAGGATATACGACCAATGCTTTTAAGACATCTGTGATTGAAAAAAGCAACCTACGAATATCTTCGACTCTGACGGGCCATGTTTCACAGCCATAAAGTAGGACGGAGCGAAATGCTGTACAGTACACTCGTCCTTCCGTTTGCAAACGAATATTATGACTTAAAAGGCAGTAGGTTGGAGAATTGTAAGGACGCCAAATTAAGACACTGAATGAATTTATAAAGTTAACGTCTAATAATCAGTCCCTTTTCGTAGGTGCAGACTTTCTAGTTGGATCACGCGTTATATTCCTATATATAACTCTAGATAGTAAGTTACATAAACAGAGATTGGTAGTAGTGTAGATGAATTTATTCCCTACCTTCATGTAAATGCTGAGTCCGTATTTTACAAATCACTTTCATTTGTCCCCGTTGTACTATATCATGTATATGTAGCTTTCTACTGAAACAGAGATAAATATCTCCGATCCTTTGCTTTTCATCTTGTTCATTTCCACTGTCTGACTCGTTTTGATATTCTTTTTGAGCCATGGATCAACGGGTATCTTTTCTTTGCCGTGCGTTAATCATGACTGCTTGAAAAATTAAAAACTTTCAGTGTAACAAATTATTTAATACAATGAATTTGAGGCAGTTGTAGTATAGGGGAATTCTTCAGCTAATAAACTAACTAATCATGTAACTTATTCAAAATTAAAAAGGGAAAAAGTAAATAACATGAGATTATTTATCCTAAACATGCCATATCATAGTGTTTCACACGTCTAAAGTCATAACATTCTGAATTCCTCATCACCTTTATCTTTTTAAGTTCATTTCACTAAATTATACTTTTTTAGAAATTCAAATAATAATATCTTCGAACCCTAATTTTTCCGATTGCTGCCAATACTTTTACTACCTGTACTATTATGAGATTTGAAGTGATAAATGCATCTCTGCGCTGTGGTATGGCATCTTGAACTGATGTACTTACGTACTATGTTGTTGTTGACATGACTTCCCGACCGAAGCTGCTACCTTGACGTGGTGGTCGGGCTTGCCTATCGTGATGACCCAGCCAAGCTATGTTGGCTGGAACATATGTTCCTGAAGGTTCTACCATGCCAGGCAGGTCGATTGGAGACGACCAGACGAAAACCAACTACTCAAGGTCTGAGGGCGAAGTCGTACTGCTGACCGCAGAGGGGTGTGACAGCAGTAAGGTGTTTCCCTCAGACAACCAGCATCTGCAGCGATGCTGCCTTCTCATAAGGAAAGAAGGGTTAGAAAACGTCGACCCTAAAAATGTAACGCTTCACCCTACCTCACGGATTTCCATCTCCGGTGGTAAGGGTGCCCACTAAGGGCTTTCAAGAGTAACAAAACCTTTAATAAAAAGGCCGTGCGTCACCGGTCTCAAGCAGTTGTCCCTTGGGCTCTACGGTCACACAACCAGGTCTCTAAGACTAACACTAATCTATCTTCAGTTTCAGGTCCCTCAAAAAAACAACCTTCCACGGTGTGGGCAGCCTGGAAGTGATAACCGCCCTCATACCCCGTAACAGCACGAGAGACAAAATTGGTCGAAATCAAATCCTCCCTACACCCAAACATACCTCTCTTCTCTCCACAACTAAATCTACTCGCATTCCCTTATCTCCCTGCACCGCTAATGCAAACGATGTGAGTTCACGAAACGTCATTCCTGGTATCTTGAAACCCCGTTCTAGACTACATATCGGAGCATTAAATGTACGGACATTGTGTCAAATAGGGCAACAGGCATCATTAGCTAGGACTTTAGAAACTCGTGCCATCGATGTATGCTGCGTCTCGGAAACGCGCATACAGGATCCTAGTAAGGTCATTAACCTGATTCCACCTTGTCAAAACGAAGAAGCAGCTCGATTTACTCTTCGTGTATCCAGTAGCCCTGATTCTGCTTCCAGGGGTCTTGCTGGCGTAGGCATAGCGTTGAATCCTAGGGCAGAATTATCTCTCCTAGACTGGATCCCAGTAGATAGTCGTTTGTGCGCTGTCCGACTGAACGGGACAGTAAGGACTCGTAAGGATAGGGACACTCGCCGTTGCCTCTTCGTCATATCTGCCTATGCCCCCACTGACTGCAGTGCAGACGAGGTTAAAGATGAGTTTTACAGAAAGCTTTCGGACCTCCTCCAAAAAGCTAGGCGCACTGATATCGTAATAATGGCTGGTGACTTTAATGCTCAAGTAGGTAGACTAGGTGAAAAGGAAAGACATCTAGGTGGATGTTATGGTGTAGCGACTGAGAGAACAGACAATGGCGACCGTCTGTTGCAACTATGCTCAGATAACCGCCTATTCTTAGCGAACACCAACTTTAGGCATAAGGAAAAGCATCTGTTGACCTGGCGACCCCCGAAGTCGTCTCAACGTTGGACTCAACTAGATCACATCGCCATCAGCCACCGATGGAGGGGTTCGATAGAAGACTGTCGCTCGTTCTGGGGCACATGTTTGGATTCAGATCATGCTCTAGTGCGAGCTCGTATCTGCTTAAGGCTTACTGGACGTAGGAAAGACACCGTAAGGAAGCCTCTTAGGGCTTTACTAAATGATGGAAAAGGCAGCGGCGATAGGCAACAGTAGGCAACTATTTAGACTCATCAAGGAAACTGGTATTAGGAACCCAACTGTGAGTGAAACTATTTCAGAAAAGGATGGTCTTATTATCCATTCTCAATGCAGGAGACTAGACCGATGGGCAGAACACTTTAGGGATCAGTTCAACTGGCCACGAGCCACTCTTCGGTTACCCACGATCTCCAGTCATCCTGAATGGTAAATCGACCTAAGTCCCCCTAGTCTTAATGAAGTTGAGAAAGCGTTAGGAAATCTGAAACGAGGACGAGCTGCAGGTCCTGATAGACTGACCCCTGAGATATTTAAGGATAGTGGTCCAGTTTTAGCAGCTAGGTTGACTGAGATCTTAGGTAGAATCTGGGAACTGGACGCAATCCCATCCGACTGGTCTCAATCCTTGATTGTCCCAATCTATAAGAAAGGACAAAAGTCTTCTTGTGACAATCACAGGGGAATAAGTCTAACTGATATAGTATCTAAAATACTGGCCTCAATAATACTTCGACGCTTAACGAAAGCTCGTGAAGAGCAGACTCGAGAAAACCAGGCTGGTTTTCGACCCGGACGTGGCTGTATAGACCACGTCTTCACACTCAGACAGGTCCTGGAACATAGACACACATTTAGGCGTCCTACAATAGTTGTTTTCCTAGACCTTAAGGAGGCATTTGACTCTGTTGATCGTAAGGTTCTGTGGCAGTGTCTGTCATTGAAAGGTGTACCGAAGAAGTACATTAACCTTATACAAGCTCTTTACTCGAACACCACTGGTCGAGTGAGGGCTTATGGCGAACTGTCACCGGAATTCTCTACATCAAGTGGTGTCCGTCAGGGATGTTCACTTTCTCCATTCTTGTTTAATTTTATCATAGACATGCTCCTAGACATAACATTGTCCTCGTCTGAATTTTCAGGAGTAGACCTTCTACCAGGTGGCTCGCTTATTGACTTAGAATATGCCGATGACATTGTCCTACTTGGTGAAGACGCTGACAAAATGCAGTCTTCTGACTACCCTAAGCAACAATGCAAGCATGTTCGGGATGCGGTTTTCCCCCTCGAAATGCAAAATGTTGCTTCAAGACTGGGTTGCATCGGCACCTGAACTAGTGATAGGGAGTGAAGTAGTCGAGCGTGTTGACCGCTCCACTTATCTGGGGAGTTTCATCAGTGCCGATGGCCTGTTGACTGACGAAATCTCATCACCGATACAGAAGGCTCGATTGGCTTTTGCCAACCTGCGTCACTAATGGCGTATACATTGTATTTATTTTTAACTTCCCAGGCTTGAGACCGACAGTAGCTCTAGAGGGTCTGTAGACAGAGTTAAGCCTTTCGAGACTTCTAATTTTTCTCATTTATAACATGGTATTTTCGTTACCACTCGGTTTGTTACCTTATTGGTGAGATTTCTTTTTCTTTTCGGCCTGTTCACGATAAAAATCAATCACTTACTTTGTGAGTGAGAACAAAGGGAATGGTTGTAGCGTTACCTACAAATAGAATTTCAGTAGTGTTTTCTTCTGTTCAAAAACATTTACTTTTCACATTCTTAGTGCATACCCTAAATATATCTTTTGATATGTTGTTTACTATATACCATATATAATCGCATACCGAAACAGACAAACAAATTCATTATGGCAACCTGTCATATCACTTTCATCTATGCATTATTTAATGCGATTATGGCATCGTACATTAATTGATGGTGGATGTGAAAAATTACTGCAATCTGGTGTTTACGGTGTTCATCAGGTATGTGGAATTTTAATCCAGTTATTCTACCATTTGTGGTATTCACCTTTCATGTGAAATTGAAATGAGTTTTGAAATTATAGGTCTGGTTTTACTAATTTGAACCAAGACTCACTCTGATGACAGGAATGGTGTAACAAGGCTGATCTATATATCTCTTCAAGCTTGATACTGATAAACAGAGAAGATTAATATATGTACTTACATTCATCAAATCTTTTCTATGGTTTTTTTATAGCTAGTCAGCTGTATAATAGTTGACAAGTAACATCACTGCACTCTTTTATCAGATATAACTAAGAATACATACATGACTATAAATAAAACTGTACTAAGCAATGAAGTAATATGAGATTATGAAGTTTACTTTCAGAACGGTCTCATAATATTTGTTCAAAAATCTTGAGCTTATTGCGCTATTATTTATATAATTTGAAGTAGTTCAGACGTCTTACTACCCAACTAAGTGGGAAAAGTCTATAGGTCCTTTGGAACAAAGAAAAGGGATTTTGTTGTATAGACATACACAGTTGAACCACTATGGAAATCAAAATAAACGAACGCGTTGGCAGTTTACTTCTTCATATTTTCTGTTTGGATAGGATTTACGGCTCAACAAGTCAACTATATTTTACATAAGCAGATAGACAGCGATCTTCCTCTATGGGAGGATCATACCAACACCTTTAACAGTCTAGTTTGCTATTACATCGAAAAATTGTGGCAACCAAAAGCGCTGACAGCTATAATGTATACACCGGAATGGGATGTGGTACAGTCACAAGTACGTGCTACGTTCATTTATAGGACGTACACACCAAAGACAATCACTCCATAGTACCTACATCAATCAACCAAAGAATAACAAGTAGTCAAATTATTTAGGTTTGTAGATACTAATTGAACAGTGTGCTTCTCCACGGTCGTGTGAAACGAAGGTGATGTAGCGCCTTTCATTAGGAGGATATCGATCTCAATTATTATCCAATTTTCGTTATTATCGCTGGAAAAATGTTTCTGTTTCGCATCCTACTTCTAACCCAACTGGATTAAATTGGTAATACTGAGGTGGAAAATTGATTTTTCTGGAGCGGAGACTTGGAGAACTATCAAAGCCATCATCCAGAATATTGGAGTATTCATTAACAGTTGTCTACGCAAGATACTTCGGATTTGTTGGCCAGACACCATCAGCAATAGTCTACTGTTGGAACGAACAAACCAGATTCCAGCGGAGGAGAAAATTAGGAAGAAGCGCTGGAGTTGGTGGATAGGACATGCACTGAGAAAAGCACCCAACTGCGTCACAAGACAAGTCCTCACTTGGAATCTGCACAGTACAAGCAAAAGAGAATGGCCAGGGAACACACTACGTCGAAAAACAGAGACATACATGAGAAGGATGAACAAAAATTGGGCAGAAGTGGAAAGGGAATTACAGAATAGAGTATATTGGAGAACACTGGTCGGTCGCTTATGCTCCACTGGGTGTGACAGGCGTAAGTGCGAGATGGAAAAGTTTAAATTTTATGTAATATTCCTATACAGTTAGTGATACCGTTTGTATTATTGCAAAAATATTCGTTGTAATTATAACTAAGATTAATTGTTTATTCTCACTTCTGTATCCTATTCATTTATTCTCCTAGGCTGTACTTCGTAGTATCGGTTCATTCTACGTAAGCCACGATCATATATCATTTAATTATCCATCAGATTCATTGTATCGTGATATTTTATTCCGTCGAATTCAATTGAATAAACCAGGTGTTTATGCAAATTTTGAAATACGTTTATTATCTCGTGAAGGCAGTATCAGTTCGCCACATTTGATGGCTGTTGAATTATCTGTATGGCGTTCTCCAAGCCTTATAACACAATTATCCGCATCATTATCTAGTCACTTAATGACAGATGTGCACGAAAATAATAACTACATTCATCAGGCTACAAGTTTCTTCAGTAAGCTCGAAAATGATGCATTTAATAGTTCACTCTATGTTTGTCCAGCTGCTTGTCATTCAACAACACCAGTTCTAGTAAAGTAAGTGTCTTAATTCTTTATACTTTGAGATATGTTCGTTGAGGGGGATATTTCACATCACATCAAACTGATTATATATGACTAGCGTAACCTTCAATATTACATGAAAAGTAACAATTACGCAGTAAATACCTATCTAGAGTGAAGGAGAGATGAATACGTATAACTGTTACGGATTTCTAGTCTTACTGGGAGTAGTCCTTTTTTTTACTGTAACCTAAACTCAGAAAGATTGGTGTAAAGAGGCACCGAAATGTGCACTACACAAATAAACGGATTTGTGTGTGGGCCGGAATATTGTCCGGGTGTCCGAGCCGCGGCAAGTGGTTTTCGTTCCCCAAACCTTTAACCCAGAGGCAATGGAGTAATGTTAGGAGCTGCAATCAATGGTGACCAACAGTATTTACGCCATTCGACCTCTCAGGATCCCATAGCATATGTGCACCATCGGTTTGGAGTCACGCTTTCTCAACTTTCCTAGGCGGATCCTCCGTTCTGACCAGTCCAGTTTAAGCCTTCGCCAGACATTCGTTTTTCGTCCTCTCACTTTAGTAAACAACACCTCAGCTGCGAGAAGACACTGTGTATGGCTTCCCGGAGGATGGCTATGCGTGAGTATTTCGATAGAGGGTGAACTCCTTCGACCTTTGGCTGTATGATAGCATTTGGGAGCAAAGCGTGGCCCCAGAGCAGTTTAGTCAAAAGCCGATACACCCGATGAGGGTGCCATAGGCATATTTCAGTAAATTTTCAAAGTTTTAGCCTAATTACCCTGAATGTTTTTTTCACTTTATTCCCGATTCACTCAATATTTAATAGTCGGAATATTAATTGATTTTTATATTACTTACGTAAAACTAAAATCAGCTAAACTACCACCAACTGTGAATTATTAGGTGAATTACGAGCGCGACGAAAAAACGTTCAAAGTAGTTGGACCAAAGCATATCATATCCTTGACTTATGCAATCTGTATCCTTAAAATATCTCCATCTCCCTATTCGAATAACAAATTTTTCTGAATTTCCGTTTCCTTATTGTCACCGGCTTATCACACTGACTTCCTAACTGGAATTGTGCATTCCATCTAAAATACATGTACAAAAATAACTATCACCTATTATATTATATTCACTTCTGAATCCTAACGTTTACACCTAGAACAATGAGACTTCCAATGATGTAGTTTATTTTTTGCTTACTTTCCTTATTGGTTATCTGTTTAAGTCCAGTCAGCCAATTACAATCAAGGTTACGGATAGAGATCATGTGACTATAGGTCGTCTTTGATCAATCGCTTATCCCTTTTTGTCTACCTCACAAAGGATCGATAAGAATAGGTTTTAGCCCAGAAACTAAGGAAAAATGGAAAACTTGGTTTTAGGATAACTAGTATAGGCTAATATTATGTAAATATTGTGTATTTAAATTTGTCCATCTACGTAACTATTCCTGTTTATTGAGTTACTATTTTTCTATCAATATGTTGTCTCAGTATAAAGAATTAACATTGTGAATAAGCTGTTGCTATCTTATAGCCGTAATTTCATCTAGTAGAATACATTCTGAATTACTGTTTCGATTTACTGTCAAATGGAGAGCATTCTTCTGTCTTTTAAGTTTCCTAATCGAAAAACAAAGATCATTTTAATATTATGTCGGCAGTTAACCAAGAAAAGTGAAAGCTTTACAGATTAATGTCGATGCTTATCACATATAAATCTATAGAATGGGTATAAGCCAATGAATTATAACTTGTACTCTTCCCACTCATACGTGGTAAGATTCCTTAAGACATGATTATCGTATGAAGTCACCAGGGAAATCGTCAGTATGACGAGTGAATACAGCCACACACAGACAGATATAACGCGGAACTTCATATGTAAGTACATCAGTTTAGGTTGCCATACCACATCAGCACAGAGATGCAACTGTCAGATCAAATCACATAGTGATAAAGATAGTAGAGGTATTAATGGTAATGAAGAAGAATAGGGTTCGAAGATATTATTCAAGAAGTATAATTCAGTGAGATAAATTTAGAGGGAGAAAGATAGAGATTATGAGGAATTCAGGTTAAAATTTGAGAGAACACAAAGAGTGGATGCACCGGCGCCATTGCAAACGATTCTGAGCCATGTCGTTCAAGGTCTCTAACCATCGGTGACTTTCGTCTCACGGACCCCAACCAGGTAACCCACATCTACCAACATGACTCAGTCCACTTGTCAGTGACTTCACGGATTTCTGCCATGTTTTGGTCTGGCCGCCCCTTGCTTTCTTCCAACCTACTCCTACACCACAAAACACCACGCGTCGCGGAAGTCGGTGGTTAGCCATACGTAACACATGTCCCAACCACCTCAACTGATGAAGTTTCACTACTTCATCTCTTGATTTGCCATCCCTACCTAGAACTCGTTTCCTAACGACAGCATTGCTCACTTGGTTGTCCAAGAATACACGAGCAATGCTTCGGAGACATCGATGTTCGAAGATTAGTAACCTACGAATGTCCTCTACTCTTAACGGTCATGTTTAGCAACCGTATAGGAGAACGGAGCGAACTGCTGTGAAGTATACTCGTCCTTTAGTCAGCCATCGGATATCTTGCCTGCGCCGTAGGTGACGCAGTTTGGCAAAAGCCAATCGAGCCTTCTCTATCCGTGCTACTAGAACTGGACCACCATCCTTAAAAATCTCGGGAGTCAATCTATCGGGTCCTGTTGCTCTCTCTCGCTTCAGATTTCCTATAGCCTTCTCAACTTCATAAAAGTTCGGAGGACTTACGTGCACTTGTCATTCAGCATGACTGGAGATCCTGGGCAACCGAAGTGTGTCTGAAGGCCAGTTGAACTGATCGCTTAAGTGTCCTGCCCATCGACGCCGTCTACTGGATTGAGAATGAATAATAATCCCATTATTTTCCGAGACAGTCTCACTTACAGTAGGATTCCTAATACCGGTTTCTTGGATAAGTCGTAAAAGTTGTCTACTGTTAGCTATCGCCGCTGCCTTTTCCATCGCTTTCGCCACCCAACACTGTTCGTGGTCGTTACGCAGGCTTTTTAGCAGCCTACCTCTAAGCTGACTCCGCTCCTCATCGTCCTCAGAGCCAGGCGGGACGTGTTTTCGAGCATCCATCAGTTTGGTAGATGCTACTGAGATCCCCGGCTTCATTCTAGCCTTACGGTTCACCTTGCTAGCGGATATCACTGCTGTTTCCACAGCCTTTTTGATATCATACCAACTTGCCTCCGGATAGGAATCACTCACACGGTCACCCAACTGTATTTCTAGTTGCTCATGAAATATATTCTTAGCTTTATTATCATTAAGACCATGACATCAACCTGGATGTCTTTCATTTTCACTTAGTCTACCTACTTGAGCATTGAAGTCACCAGCCAATAATACTATATCAGATCGCCTAGCTTTTTGGAGGAGATCCGAAAGCTTTCTGTAAAACCTATCTTAACCTCGTCTGAACTGCAGTCAGTGAGGGCATAAGCAGATACGACGAAGAGGCAACGACGTGTCCCTAACTTTCCGAGTCCTTACTGTCCCGTTTAGTCGGACAGCGCACAAGCGACTATCTACTGGGATCCAGTGTAGGAGCGCTAGTTCTGCCCTACGACTCAATGCTACTACCCTAAGCAACAATGCAAGCATGTTCGGAATGCGGTTTTCCCCCTCGAAATGCAAAATGTTGCTTCAAGACTGGGTTGCATCGGCACCTGAACTAGTGATAGGGAGTGAAGTAGTCGAGCGTGTTGACCGCTCCACTTATCTCGGTAGTCTCATCAGCGCCGATGGCCTGTTGACTGACGAAATCTCATCACCGATACAGAAGGCTCGATTGGCTTTTGCCAACCTGCGTCACTTATGGCGTAGGCGTGATATCCGTTCTCTAATCAAAGGACGAGTGTACTGTGCAGCAGTCCGTTCCGTTCTCTTATATGGCTGTGAAACATGGCTAGTGAGAGTAGAAGATATTCGTAGGTTACTGGTTTTCGATCATAGGTGTCTTCGAAGCATTGCTCGTATACCGTGGGACAACCGAGTGAGCAATGCTGTCGTTAGGAATCTGGTGCTAGGTAAGGATGGCAGATCAATAGATGAAGTAATGAAACTTCATCAGTTGAGGTGGTTGGAACATGTGTTGCGTATGCCGTACCACCGACTGCCTCGAAGAGCTTTATTTTGTGGTGTAGGAGTAGGTTGGAAGAAAGCTAGGGGCGGCCAAAGCAAAACATGGCAGAAATCCATGAAGTTATTGACTAGTGGACTGAGCCATGTCGGTAATGGTCGACTATCGGGTTTGGGGTCCGCGAGATGATAATAACCGATGGTTAGAGACCTTGAATGACATGGCTCAAAATCGTTCGCAATGGCGCCGGTGCATTTATTCTTTGTGTTCTCTCAAATCCTAATCTTCTGGATTCTTCAACCCCTCTAGTTTTGACTTTCTAAACTTTTCTCATTTAATCATACTTCTTGAATAGTATCTTCTAATCCTAACCTCTCCGATTACTTCTAATTCCCTTACTACCTCTAATACAATTGGATTTGAATTGACAATTACTTCTCTGTGCTGATGTGTTATGGCGACATGAACTGATGTACTTACGTACGAAGTTCTACGTCGCATCTGACTGACGACCCAACGCTATACCTACACCAGCGAGACCCCGGGAAGCAGCATCAGGGCTACCGGATACACGAAGTGTAAATCGGGCAGCTTCTTTATTTTGATAAGGTGAAACCAGATAATTGATTTTACTAGGATCCTGTATGCGCGTTCCCGAGACGCAGCACACATCGATGGCGCGAGATTCTGAAGTCCTAGCTAACGATGCCTGTTGCCTTATTTACACAATGTCCGTACATTTAATGCTCCGATATGTAGTCTAGAACGGGGTTTCAAGATACCAGGAATGACGTTTCGTGAACTCACATCGTTTGCATTAGCGGTGCAGGGAGATAAGGGAATGCGA